GCTGCTTGAGGACAGCGTCGGCGCTGGAGAGCTCAAGGGTGTTCTTGGCGGCCTCCTTGGCGGCGTAGACGACCTTACCGTGGTCAATGATGATCACGTAACGGTAGGTGCGGCCCTCCTCGTCAGCCCAGCCGATGCTCTTGGAGAACTTGGCCTCGGGGTCGGAGAGGAAGAGCTAAATAAAAAAGAGACGAGTCAGTCAATTGAGTCCATGATCTGTTTTGGGGGATTGGTAGAGATAAGGAGAGGTGATGGACCACATACAATATCATTTCCGGTGACACCGTTGGCCTTGCCCCAGGCGCTCATGACGTAGGCATCGTTGTAGGCGAGGACGGCGACCTGGTCGACACCCTTGGCGCGCAGCTCAGGGAGCTTCTGGATGTACTCGGGGACGTGGTTGGCGGAGCAGACGGGAGTGAAAGCACCTGTAGAGCAGAGTGGCGGTCAGCGTGAGAACCTTGCAGACGGCATAAAGAGGAAGGAGGGGGAATTGAAAATTTTCGAAAGAGCGGTCACGTACCGGGAAGAGCGAAGAGGATGACCTTCTTGTCAGCCCATTCCTTGGAGGCGTAGTAGTTGATGGGGATACCGCAAGAGGTGATCTCGCCAGCCTCCTCAGACCAGGGGATGTAACTGTTGTCTGTTAGTTGGAGTGGATGCAATTGAAGGGGTAACTCAATAACTCACGAGAACACCACGTCCTGGGGGAAGGCGTCACCAGACTTGAAACCCTTAGACATTTTGAGTGTTGAGTGTATTCGAAGAGAGAAAGATGGAAGTTAAGGTGGATACAAGAAGGAGATGGAGGGAAGAGAAGAAGTTCAAGTATTTAATACTACGGCTGACACATATCGGCCCATCGGGATTTATGACGAAGTGGAGACTCGCCCTGAATTTACTTTACCAGTCAAGTGAGGTGATCCGAAGAAGAAAGATACCGAACCACATGGATTATCAAGAAAGACCGCCGAGACTGAGCCTTATCTGATTAATATTATTCATGGGCGAATCGGGTGAGAGATGAGTCAGGATCATAGTAGGTCGGCTATTACGGTAAGTTGCTTCGGATTCAGTATTCCTGGCTGTTCTTAATTGTTCTCAGGGGTTCTTGGAGATCAAGGCATTTTTTGTCATTGGCCAAAAATGAGGGACCGAGGTGGGGGATGATGTTATAGGGTGCCTGATCTCTCTAAGGCAGAAGGTGGGATGATAAGGTCATGTGACCATTGTGCCCTTGTGCCCGTGTGCCTGAATGCCTTAGGCCACATACGTAGGTATTTCCAGACTACATGTAAATAATTCTCCCACGATAATGTCTTTGAGCCACTCCGTACCCCAGTTAAGTGAACTCTGCTGCATATACCGCCATTTTAAACTCGCTGGTCAACTCCTCGAATCTGTCGAATCTGGCATCAAGTCTGTGTTTATCAGGATAGTTTGCGATGGGTTGGTGGTTCTCGATCCCGTTTGGTGCTCTCGCGCTACTTCTCCGTATACCCATTGGACAATTTGAGCTCACGGAAGAATAGCATAGAGAGTTTGGATTATCCGATGCTACAATATGTAGAGAAGGGTGAAATTGCCATTTTCTGGAAGTCAGGAGTCAGGAGTCGTCACCCACGTTCCAAGATTCTATCAGAAAGTTTCGAAGCGCTATCGCGAGGGACGGGACTAGTGAATTTGTCGTGGTCCCAAGACTCGATGGATAGCAGTTGCAAATAGTATATTTCTTTTCTTATTGGATGCAATGTTCAATATGTGCATATTTATGAAGGCTGCCCTCGGGTTCAATCCAATGATAGAAACAGCAATCTCCACATCCAGTGTACTCATCCCGGTTGACTCCCAGAACGGCAGCTCAATGTCTTGTATCATTAACATGAGGTGTGGTCTCCATCAAACGAGCCAAGGTGACAGCCTCCCGAAGCGCCCGTCCAACATGCCCACGCACACCAGCCTCTTCCATCACCATCAACCCGCCAATCGTGCAGCCCTCAGGAGACGTTCCCTGATCCTTCAACAGGGCCGGGTGTATTCCACTCTGAAGCATCGTTGCCGTCCCTTGCATTGACTGGAAGATCATGGTATGAGCCAGGTCCCGTGGCATACCAACCGCCACTGCGGCATCGATCATTGCATCGCAAACCACAGCGAAGAAAGCCGGTGTGGAGCCCCCGACAGCGGTAGTAGCATTCATCAGCCTCGGGTCAACATGTACTGCCTTACCAATTTGCTCGAAGATCGACGTCGTTATCTGGAGATACCGTTCCGGCAATGCAGGCTCCGATGTTTCAATAGCCGTAAGTGATTGGGACACCTGGGCTGCGATGTTCGGCAATGTGCGCACCACCCAGGCTCTGCCAGCTGTGTTATCCGCGGTGGTTGCGCTGCCGTATATTGTAGCTTCGAGCTTTTGTCTTGTCCAGCCGGCTGCGATGCTGATGATAAGTTTGCCGGTAAAGGCCTCGCGGAGCCCAGGTTGTGCTAGGACGGTTTCAATGTCGGCGGGGTCTGCACCTAGGATAACCACATGGCCGTTTTGTACGGCCTGTACATTGTTGCCGCGAGAAATGCTTATTTTGTCCAAGGACTCGGCGAATCGCTCGGATAGTCTCTTCTCTGAGTTTTCACTGCGCACGCATGCAATGTATCGAGAAAATGGTAACTCTTTGGACTTCTCTGCGGGTGCATTGACGAGGCCGTCTAGGATGGCAATGCCCAAGTTTCCTACCAAGTCGGCCTATTAGTCAATGCATTTTACGTATGGGCTTTTGCGCTTACCGCAACCTAGGATGCAAAGAGTTCCATTTTGAATATCCATGATTTAGTTTGAACGTTTGAATCGAGTAAAGTAAATTATTAGAATGAAGCGAAAAACAACTTTGCATTTTGAAGCACATCGGGGACGCTTCCGAGTGTGGAGAACATTGAATACCCCGCTTGAATCGAAGCTGAGCTGAGGTTCGGGATCAAGCCAGCCAACAGTGTTTCTCCAAAATTTATGCTTATCTTTATTTCTGAGTCTTCAAGTACTGAATATATCCCAATTGTCCCAATTGACTACATATATATGTTGTGGAGTGGATGCCTTGGTGCCTCAGGTGTGAGCCCTCCTAGATAGTTCTCTTCTCCCAATCCATTCCCTACAATCCATAGGGCCAACTATAAGTTCGGAATCGACTTTCTATGAATTCGATTTAAAATCGATCAAGGTATACAAAATATATATAGAAAGGCAGAGTTGGAGAAAACATGCTCGGGAGTCCGATTTTTATTTCCCCTCAGCTCTTATCTGGTGAGGGCACTTTTCTCCAACTCCGTATACTTTAACCTGTTTTGGGGGAGATGCGGGGAGGATATACTATATCAGCTCAATAACCCACAAATAAAAGAAATGCACTTTATTTTACTTCATCATGGGTGTTTCAACATCAGATTCTATCATTATTGTCGGCGCTGGTGCTTTTGGCCTCTCGGTAGCACTGCATCTTTCTCTACGAGGCTACACAAATGTCTCCGTGTTCGCAAAAGATGACTATATCCCTTTCGGAGACTTGACAAATGTAGTGTCCCCTAAAAAGCCGTTTATTTTCAATAAAAAAAAGGGAAATAGAATAATTGCTGATGGCTATATTGAAATATAGGTCTATCGTGCAGCACAAGATGCAGGCGTGCGATTTTTCCTGGGACAACAAGTCGACCAAATAGCTTACGTGAGCACATTGGCCGGTAAAAGGAACGCTGGCATCCGCACAAGGAATGCCGGATTCTATCCCTCGTCGCTCGTCATTATCGATGCCGGGGCTGGGGATATCGGTTCATCGGAAATTGGCCAGTTGCATCCGCCCGACTCCTTGGCCATACCCCTTTCTTGCTATACCAACACCAACCCGAATTCCTTCGTTGAATACGTACCACACACATCTTCCTCGGTTATACTGCTGTCAGGAAATTTGGTACAAAAGTCTAAGATGTCTTTGGTGGGACCACTGGTCGTAGATCTCTTGGAGGCAACGAGCGGTCAGCGAACTGCGGTGGTTCCACCTCAACCTTTGTCTAGGTTGTGAGGAAGATCTATGAAGGAAGACATATCAATATCGTCCAATAATTCCCGGTCCTCGAACTGACTTGGACTCCTTGACGTCGACCGAGCCCTACAATGTACAATCGAAGTATTTCTAAACATCCAACTTTCAAAATTCAACCTAAGTTTACTCTGGCCCTCAAAAGCAAGGCAGTTGCATTTTATTTATGAATCATCCTAGACGCTAGAGGTCAAGTTATGAAGTCAATGAGTCAATATTTAGCGCTGCCGACGACGCCTATCAACCCGCTCAGGATCAACCAATTCAGGAGCTCCCGGAATCAACACAGCCCAACCAAGACAGGGACGACAAAGACCCATCGCAAAAGCCTCAGTGATACGGAGGACAGGACGTGGATTGGGGCAAGGTACTCGTCTCTCACGGGCATTTGCTTCTTTACAGCGCTCGATCCACACCGCTTCTGTGTGTCCACAACCACTGATGCCGCAGTGGCCGCGGTACCATTTATAACGCACTTTGCACATGATAAGTGATGGCTGTATTGAAAATGGTAGAGCTTCGGGGTAAGTACTCGCGGTACTAGCCTTGGGTGGAGAAGGCTGTAGTAGAATATGGAGTTTGGAAGTAAATCCATATATTTGTAGAATCTCAAGAAAGCCCTGGAGCTCAATGAAAGGAACAACACTGAATTTGGATTTCTTTCATCCTGGGCTTTGTCTTGTCTGAGGCAAAGGGGTCTATGCATGGTGCAATTATGATTGAGAACAATGCATTTGTTGATATCTTTGTTCCAAATGAACTATTGCAAGATTCTCAGCTTCCACTTGATTTCCATTATACACCCCTGTCACATCCTGGGGGCATTACAATCAGATCAAAGGGGTTGTCATGACTGTCAAGAGATAACCCCATATCGACACTCGATTAATCCTCTCGCAGTAAAAACTATCGTCATTCACGACATGAAACCCCTAAGGAATTTCTTCTTTTTTCTTTTGGTAAGATGAAAGCCTTGACTTTGGTGACAACATCCCCATTCCATCGTACAATGTCCAGCCCCGAGCTGTCGTGTCTCATCAACCTTGCGATGAACGCAACATCCACAGCGACGGCTACAGCATCCTTCCCTCTTCGCACAATCCTCCAACAGAACTCGATGCATATACCATAGAGAATGATATACCATAGAGAATGTGATCGCCATAGGTCAAATGCTCTTATCAGGGGCCTCTCCATAAATGAGTTTCGGACTTTCCACCACTGGCGTTCCAGCAACCAATATCTCTTGTTCAGATCCTGAAGTTCGGCCTGTACGTCACTCCTATAGAATAGCCAGCTTCCCGTGATTTCGGGTTTCTTGGAGATGTATTTCTCTTCTTGGGCAGTACTTTGAAGGTCTTGTTCTATCCGGAGAAGCTCAACCGCTCGGTCAATATGGCACGACCCTTTGCCAACCACATTCCACCGATACCGTTGAAGAGCATTGATATGTTCACTCTGCTTGATCCTGATTTCATCTTGAGTTTTCTCTCTAAGCAAGGGCAAGTCAATTTCTGGTTGAGTCGGCTTGTCCGCAGATTGCATGTAGACTTTTTGTTGACCGCAGAAGCTGTATGCTAGTAGAGACTTGCGTAATTTCCTGTCAGTTATGGAGGATAGAGACGTATCTAGTTAATGCATCTAGTTCATGAGATAGGGAAAGGTCCTCCTTAAATTTAAGGTCTACCGGATGAACGACTCATCCTGATGTCAGATATCCTTCCATGATCTCTAAAACCTGCAGATCTCTAACGGCAGAAGAAAGCTTTTTTTGGTTCGATCACACCATATTAGAGAATAGCTCAGTCTCCCTCCTTTGATCCGAGCTTCGTAGGCCGATGGAAAAACTATTAGAATCATAAACCTAGAGGATGCTGATCAGTAAATTGTGCTCTATAGTTCATCTGGCGCTGCGGCTTGGCGCTACTAGGAGACCTCTACCTAGGTACCCACAAACCTTGGAAGCAATAGTCAACATATAGTTGTCTGGGAATATTATTGGTGTACTTTAATGACTTGTTTCCTTTATCTTGAAGACATATTTAGCTTAAGATCTATTATACTTTTCTGACATAGTGGCTAGCTTGTAGTCAAGAAATATATATCACTAGTTCTCACATTTGCTATAACAATAACCCAAACGCCAATTGCAAACGAACAGTGCAGCGAATATCCTAAACCTTAAACATGCATGGTAAGAGGACACTGGTTTTAGAGACTCATGTCAGATACCATGAGTCAAAAGTATATCTTTTTGGTGATACATGTAGCTAGTGATTCAAAGCTTCGAAGGTCTGTCTGTCAGATTACTCAACAGTTTTTGCCTAAAACCGAATTTGAATAAAATTACCCATACAATTATCTTCATGCACAATCTTGGAAGATTCTCTTGTAGGCGACAAAACCCTTGGTATCTGGACGACGTTGGTACAGCCTGACGTGGACATGACTAAAGCTGTCTATGGGTCTACCTATGTATGTAGGGCTGGGTTGGAAGGGGTTAAGCTTCTCAACCTCGCAATATTGAAGGCAAAATCTGACACCATCTCCCAAATTCCCATGGCAGATCTCAAACCGCCATTTACCGAGGAGACTGCGCAGAAAAAAGTCAAAGCAGCGCAGGATATCTGGAATACGAGGTACGTCTCAGGATTTCCTATCTCTACGGCCCTTGGCAGACCATGCGTTCAAAGGAAGGGGATTGAAGGTCCCATCCCTTGCATTCTTGCCGACTTGTATTGTTTGCCTGTGCGCCCTGGACACATGCGAGCATACCTCATACGAGAAGGGATTATCTTTCTCGAGATGGACTAGTGCTTTGCGAAAATAGATGACGTAGTGATTTCATTGCCCGCTCTGACTATGTGCGATTTAGGGACCCTGCCCGAGTCGCTCAAGGATACACCCCAACATGTATCTGGCGTGTTCGAGACTCCTTTTTTACCGGGACAGAATCTATCCTTGCGTTCTTGCAAGCGAAATGGCAACGCGAGCGTAGTTATCGACTTCGGAAGGAACTTTTCGCTTTCTGGGATGATCGCATCGCTGTGCAGTTTTGGTATGAGTTCCAGGATGTGGAAGATGGAATGTGTTGGAAGCGATGCTATGGATTGGAAGATTGGACTTTTGATCAGACAGGAAAGATGCGCAAACGTATGATGAGTGGAAATAATGTCCTGATCGGACCGGAAGGTAATGGTGAAGGGAGATGGTTTGTAGATGAGGTCAACGTGAACGATGTACATATTACTGAGCAGCATTGGTAATGTTACGATGCATACAGATGTATCTGAATAGTTGAATTGAAGCCGAGGATGGGGTTGTGGTATCATCACTGTTGGGTTCTATATATATTTCATATGGGAAGGATATGTGCGGTCTGGACTCTACTTGACGCCAAAAACCGGATATTAGAAATGAAAATTTTTAGAATGTGGAATGTCTAACACAAATAGACCCGTGTAGTGATAAAATGGCTAATGGCCCTATGTTTGAGGATTGATTTGTTGTTATCCCCCTTCTTTAGGGGAATGCCATCTCCTCCGTCGATCGCAATTGATGCCGACAATGAGAGCATTGTAGGAGTTTAAATTGTTGAATACGTATTCTGACCTGAGATCATTCATCTTTTATTGTTATTTTTAAAAAAGGATCTTACGTCTAGACTATACGCGCCGGTCTCCGGAGCCGTGGTGTGTGTAAAGTGTGAATAGTGGCATGGAACATCTGGAACTTTGGACGCTTCTGCCTTGTCACGACGCTCATAGGTCGAATCCCACAATAAAACAGGCAAACATGCCATGGAGTCAAACAAGCACATACATAGTAAACAATAGAGAGTGCTGAGGACATTCCGATGGGAAGGAAGGAATCTCTCTCATTCCAGTCCAGCCGAAGCATGCAAGCCAACCTCTTGAACATTGACAGTTCCCGATCTTTCCTTCTTGTGTTTTCATCTCAATTTCAGGTAGGGGTCTTTCGCTTGAGATCTTTTCTCTTCTTTTTCCCGCATCTGCGTCGATGATGTGGTGTTGACCAGCCCTTGTCACTCTTTAGTTTTGTTTTTCTTTCTTTCCCAGAAGAGTCTGGAGCCGATCTTTACACGTAACTTCTTTTCATTGCCTCTTGAAGGAGTTGTATTTTTGGCGTTTAATCTACTTTTCTTTTCTGTGCGTTGGGTACTGATATCGTTGTTGGTGTCGAAAGGTCAGCTAATGGGGATTTAGATGGACGACTAATCCCACAACCTTAAAGGGACATTGGGAAACACGCCAGCACGTCTCACACCACATCTACCATGGACCAGATAATGTCGGACGTTAATGACCCTCAGCCGAGGCGTCAGCCCTTGAGAGATGTGTCGAGCCGGATGAACAACTCCAAGTCGCCAAATGTCGAGACACCGCGCTTGAGGATCGAGGAAGCGGAGCAGCTGAAGAGTCCTGACCGGACGTCTTTTCTTATGACCCCAACCCCGCGAAGAAACAAGGAAAACGAGCGCCTCTCCGTGGCCACCGACCTGCAGCCCGACTCAGCCCGAAACTCCATCATGTCTGCAGCATCTATTCTGTCAACCAAAGGAAAGAGGAAAACGCACGTAGGACCGTGGCAGCTGGGGCGAACACTGGGGAAGGGGGCCACTGGGCGAGTTAGACTGGCCAAGCACGCTGTCACTGGACACACGGCTGCTATCAAGATCGTTTCAAAAAAGTCGGCTGCTATGGTTCAGAGTGAGAGTATCGCGGCGATGGACCGTAATATGGGAAACTTCCCTACCAATCCAGCCACCCGACAAATGCCCTGTGGAATTGAACGTGAAGTGGTCATCATGAAGTTGATTGAACATCCCAATGTGATCAGTCTCTATGATGTTTGGGAAAACCGGGGAGAATTGTTTGTCCACACCACCTTGGAAATTGAAAACACACTAATACAATAGCTAGGTACCTTGTGCTTGAACACGTCGAAGGTGGAGAGTTGTTTGATTATGTATCTAACAATGGTCCACTACCGGAAGAAGAAGCCGTACGACTATTCCGACAGATCATTGCGGCACTTGGGTATTGTCATCGTTTCAATATCTGTCACCGCGATTTGAAGCCTGAAAACATCTTGCTTGATTCAAACCATAATGTCAAGCTTGCTGATTTTGGTATGGCAGCACTGCAACCCGCAGGCCACTGGTTGAACACTTCATGTGGTAGCCCTCATTATGCAGCACCGGAAATCATTTATGGTCGAAAATATCGTGGCGACAGAGCTGACATGTGGAGCTGTGGTATTATTCTCTATGCCCTTTTAACTGGTTACTTGCCTTTTGATGGAGGGGATTTGGGAAGCACCCTGCGACTTGTGAAGAAAGGAGACTACATCATTCCTCCCGAGTTGAGCGATGAAGCAGCCGATCTTATCCAGCGTATTCTCCAAAAGCGCCCGGAAGATCGGATATCGATGCAAAGCATTTGGTTGCATCCATTGTTAACCAAATATGAAAAGCTCCACAATGCCATGGTTGATCACTATGTTGGTCCTCCTCCTGCCCTGTCGGTGAATGATTGCGGTCCAACCCTGTCCTCACAGCAGGACATTGATCTCGATATCCTTCGCAATCTGCAGACTTTGTGGCATGACGTTAAGGCCGAGGACCTAATTCAAAGGCTTCTATGCATCGAGTAAGTACTCCTGCTAGTCATCAAGACGAGTTCCATGACGCTAACAAATCGCTCAGACCGACCCACGAGCGGATGTTCTACAACGCATTGGCAAAGTTTCGGGATGAGCAGCTGGAAAACTATCAAGGACAGCCTCTAGAGTACTCAGCTAGTGATTACCACCACATCTCCCGGCCAGGTGGCAGAGTTCGTCGAGGCCGCAGCCAGACGGGTCAGGGTAGCTCCAAGCATCGGGCTGAGTTCCCATCTGTGAAAGGGTTCCCTCGTCGCCTCAGCTCCTTCAAGGAACCGATGTCATCAGGTACTATGGAGAGCTATGACCCATACCGTTCGCCCAAGCATGGTGGCACAGCCTCGGAAGCACAATATGCCCAAATTACTGTCCACCGAGAACCGTCAGAGAATGCTCGGGCTATTCTGTCGTCGCCAAGGGTGAAGCCTCCCCCTTCCATTGCGGAGGAGCAAGAGCCAGAGGAATCGGATGGGCCGGATGGCTCACCATTCACTGTCCTCCAGAAGCGTAAGCACGGGCCCAGCTCTATGAAGTCTTTCGTCTCTTCCAAGGTACCTCATTCCAGCTCCCGCGCTCGCGGACTGTCAACACATTCCATGAGTTATCGTCGCAATGTTTCTTTCCATCACACTCGCAACCGGTCTCATGGATCTACATCTGCCAAACCCAAGAAAAGAAAGATTGCGACACCAAATCAGCAAAATGAGATTAAGCGGTCACCGAGCACCTGCAGCTTGCAACTTATGGCAGATGGCCTTGATCTCCCGGACATGCCAAGTAGCCCACCCCTACCAGCACAGCCAACGGTGGTGCGAATGAATGGTCCGAAGGTCAAGAGCTTGGGACAAATCCGAAAAGTGCGCGATTCAGACTACACGTGGAAGGAGGACACTCGAAAAGTCTCCCATGAGCTCAGCCAGATCTGCGAAGAGGCATTCAATGGAAGCTCTGTTACAACCATTCGCACTACGAGCGGTGCATCAGGATACGAAACACCGGCAACTCCAGTCTCAATGGCAAGCCCTGAGCAAGCTCAGGCAACTTCCACGATCCCGGTGTCTAATACATCCCAGGAGGCATCTCGATCTTACAATATTAAGGAGCTTACTGAGACACGCCAAAAGCTCATCGAGCACAGCCGGGGCCGAAAGGACAACGTCCCTGCCTATCTTTCTGGGGTCATCACTCATCTCGATCGCTTGATTGAAGAAGACCAGGTCCAGAACGGCGGTATATGGAGAGAATTGGACGTGGCACCTTCCCAAGATCCTTTCGTCACTCCACCGAACGAGACCTTCCTCCCTATTAATGAGAATTGCGCAAGCCCTGTCCGCGCACCCAGTGAGACCAGCCCTCGACGTCAGCAAAAGCCAAGGGCTTCGCTCGCTACATCTCAGGGCGGCGATGCTAAGGCAACCATTCGCATGGTCCCCCACAGCTCATTCCGCTCTATGGAGGAAGTCAAGCCGCTGACTATTCGGAAGAAAAACTACAGCAAGTTCGCTTCATCAGACGTTCATGAATTTGCTATGGGTGACTCTACGGGTGGCGATCGGAACTTTTCCATTGCATCTCGACATGCCGGTCAACCTAGTGGGCTGGCTCCAATCGAAGAAGTTCCCTTGTCCCCTAAGAAAACAACAACCCAGGCGCCCGAAGCGAAGAAATGGTCATGGTTCAAGCATCGCTCTCAGGGCTCAGATAATCCCCCTGCTCTCCCACCCAAGGACAGCCACCTCATTATTCCCAGTGGAGGCACGACTGTGCACAATCCCATTACCCTCGAGCCCGCTTCTCCTCCCAAGACAGGGAACACAGAACGAGTCCCAAGACGGAAGACATCTATGGATCGCTTTGGAGGTGGCTTTTTCAAGAAACTCTTGACCAAAAAGTCCACCCAGAGCATGCAAGAACCTTCTGCTAGTGAGTGCAACATCGCTACCTTCCGTCCAATATTCTAACCAATCTATAGACAAGGAGACAGACATCCAAACCCTGCCACCCAAGGATAATCGTTATTCTTCTCTGATGTGCAAGGGACTTGCAGACACCGACAGTTCTGTTGAAGCTGATGATCCTCCAAACCCATCCCGCCACAAGCGCCGCTCAATTGCCAACCACAACTGGTTTGCCCGGGTTTTCCAGATCAAGCCTGCTACCCAGGTCATTGCGCTCAACACATCGAAGGTCAAAGGACGCAAGGAACTCTACAAGCTCCTTCGCGAGTGGCGGGATTTCGGCATGGAGGACGTGTATCTGGACAAGACCAACAGCATTGTTCACGGTCGTGTCAGCGAAGCAAATTGTAAGTTACTCAATCTCATCTGACCTAACACTTGTACTAATGCCCTTTAGTCCTCCATCTTCGGGAGGTTGAGTTCACTGCTGAATTTTACACTGTCCTTGAGCACGGCCACCAAGCCAACCTCAGCTTGGTCCGCTTCAAACAGGAGCGTGGCGCCGCTTCGTCTTTCAACAAGGTCGTTGAGACTGTGCAGAGCACACTAGCGCGCCGCGGCATGGTTGTTGAAGACCCATCTCGTGCAAAGAAGATGTCGCGCGTTCTTGACTCTGTCCCTAACCACAGATAAGCTATTTCACGACACATTTCCTTGATATCCCCTCGATCTCACCATGAAGTATCTCCATCAAATACTGTCAGCCAACTATCGTCTTTCACTCCTCGACATTTCATCCGCAAAACACCCCACTAGCATGCTGCGTTCCAGCCCTGCAAAAGCACTTTCTTTGCATCTCATACCGTCCAACCATTCATCCACGCTCGTTTTCATCTCATGCAAGACCCAGAAACCACACAGGCCTAGTACTGCAGGCCACGTCCATCCATTCATTTTTGTTTTTTTGTCCCTCGATCATTCCTTGTCTGTCAGCCACTTTCTCTACTTGTTAATTATCCATTTCTTTTCGGCTTGTGTGTTATTTCTGGATTCCTTACCCGTTAGTCAATTCCAGCAGATTTTCTACTCCCTCGTTTTTCACTCTTCATTTCCCGTTTTTCCACTTCGATACCTTGGCATAATGCTTAATCTCGGCGAGTCGATATTCGTACCCCAACCCATGTCGTCGCTGTTCTAAATCATCGAAGCCTAGGAAAACAAGTCCGTGTATTTAAATGGTGCCATTGAAGTGCTAGTAACTATCCACGAATTGTACTATCCTTTGACGTTAACAATATAGTCTCAAATCATCTGTCCAGATTAGGGCAAGTCACGTGGTACGTCTCTCGTAGGTCTTCGCATAGGTACATATGTACATCCATAGGCATCTGCTCCTGTCCCGCCTACATGGTACATACGCGGTCTAGGTAGCATGCTGGATGGGTAGGTGCATGATGTGGTACGGAAAGAATGCAATACTCGAGCACCATTATGCAGCCAAGATTCCCCCTTCATAGGGACAAACTATACAGCCAATATAAGACTGGGAACCCATCCAGCCCCTCTAACGCTCCACTCTCGATGAGAAAGGGCATAAGCAGGAAGTAAGGAAAGGGGAACCCCAGAATAAAGAGAAACCTAGGAAATGGCGCTCGTCCGGATCGGACCGGATCAGAGATCAGATCGGATCAGTTGGATCTGCATAGCCAGGGATGAATACTCGACATAATTCGCATAATATAATTTCATCAGAAAGCGCTCAGAGATACAAGATCCCAACGGAATAGCATGCGGCAATAACTGAAGAGCAGAAAGAGTGATCAGACAACCTCCGGATATAAGTATAAGCAGATATTTGATAACGAAAAGCAGGCAACGGTAAGAAAATGAGAAACAAATATAAAAAGATCAAAACTGTTCCAACGAGAATAATCAAAGCAAAGGGAAAAGATGACACAGACGACCCACGTCTTTTAATCGCGTAGGCGAAAAACAGATGGCCACACATACATCGTAGAAGATGTAACAGAGTAGTAAATAGACGAATGCCTTCCCAGTAATATAAAACGGAATGAAGAACCCGAGGAAAGGACAAAAGCCGACAACAGTGCAAAAACGCGATGAGTGAAAACGAGACAAATTGCAAAAACAGATAGCCACCCGAAATTCAAATAACAATGACAATTTCTGCGGCCCGTAGCGATGAAATGAATTCCATGGAAAAGACAGCCGGAGAGAGTGATTTGATGGTGCAAGTCCAGAATGCATTCATGCTAAACCCGTGAGATGCGAGTTAAGACAATTGAAAGTACATGAACTGCATGCACCTGGAAACATGCCAAATCACTCTCCTGAGGAAATCCAATTCTTGGAATTGCGATTATTCAGATATCGAAGCCGAGAAAAATAGAAAAAGAGATAAATAAAAATTCATATGCCAATAGAACCAGAGCTGGAAATCTCAGTGTCAAGCTCAAATTCGTGCTCGTGAAGCTCGTGGGTTCGCGTTTGTGACCTTATAAATAGATCAGAGAGTGAAGTTCTTGTCGCGTTCATCGTCCAGGGTACTCGTCATTGTCTGGAATGTCATCCCGAACTCCCCTTGCAGCCAAATGCGCGCACAACAGTCCGACGAGACCTCAAATCTTCAAATTCCCAGCGCTCGACACATGGCTCTCGGACCGTGTGGCCAGCACACAGCCCATTCCGAATGATCCTCATTCCTTACCGGTCCCGCATCGCATTCTTCATGCGTTTCCTAGTTTCCACTAGGATATGAAATAGCAGCGTAGGGATTACTATTGCGGGCCGCGGCGATTCAGCGCGTTGAGCATGTCACTATCGGTGCTGGAGCGGCCTTGGGAATCGCCGGGGTTCAGCATATCGCGCACGTTCAATCCACCTCGTTGGGAGCCACCGGGAGTAGAGCTTGGCGGTGGTGTCACACCCCCTGGCTGAGGGGTACCACTTGACTTGATTGGCGCGCTGCCCGGTTGAGCGGGGGGTACGCTGCCCTGGTGTGGAGTCATAGGCGCCTGGTGGGGCTGCATAGGTGGGAAGGGCGAGCCGTGAGGTGAGGAGGAGGGGCGCGTATCGTAATTATAAGCCGATGGCGGCGAGGTGCGTCGATCGTGGGCAGGCGGAGGGGGATATGCGTAAGGGCTCGGCGTAGTGTGGGTCTGGTATCCCGGAGCAGACCCAGCAGGTGTCACGGGAGCCAGATTGGTCGGATCGGGGTACTCAAATCCCGAGTTTGAGCCGCGACGGTGTCTCTGCGCATCAAAACATCAGCTTAGATCTCTGTCTCTCCATCCTCTTACCAGAGGGGGAATGGCGGCCTTACCGGATCGGGCATAGTTGACGCAAGGGGCAGCGGGGCACCATCCATGGGAGGTCGTCCGTTTTGATAGTACATCCCTTGGGGCGGCGGCAAGGTGGTCTCTGGACCCTGTGGCTGCTGTTGAGGGGGCAGAGGTTGTCCGTGGGCGCCGTACAGGACAGGCGGTGCACCGCGACCCCCTGGTCCTGGTCCATTCTGTCCAGGTCGTAGATGAGGGTAGGCGGTGTGTGCAGGCACAAAGGCTTGGGTTTGCGAAGAGACCGGAGTGAACATGCAGTCCTGGTTGAATCGAACACAGTTGCTGCACCTTCCATCTGCGGAGGTCTCGAATCCCGAGCAACGAATCTGTCGGGTAGAAATTAGTGCGTGGTAACTCGGAGATGGGGAGGAATCGCCCCCCGTACCTTCCGGCGCCGACAGTACCGGCATGCAATGGCCGTTCGCTGTCGCGGAGCTGCTGCTTGGTAAGGCCCTTGTCCTGCTTGCGGTCCATATGCATCGGCGCGATAAGGACCCGGCGGAGGTGGGAGACGGTAGGGATCTTGCGCTCCGTGGATAGCATTCATGGCTTGTGGGTGCGGATATCTTGGATCCGGATACTGCGCCGGGGAATATTGCGATGGGGCGTATTGCGGAGGAGGGGGATACTGCGCTGGCGCGTATTGTGCGGGAGGGGGATATTGATAGGCACGGTCCTGGTCAGGTGGCGGAGGGTAGGAAGTTGGCGGATACTATGAAGCTATCAGCAACCGCAGCCATCGCAAAGTCACAGCGCTGTGAACTGGCTCCGAAACAGCACATACTGGGTAGGAAGCCTGATCACCCGGATTGTTCCACTGAGTGTCTCTAGGGTCTCTAGGATCTCTTGGGTCTCGAGGATCCTGGCGATTTGGATCACCCTGACGGCTAGGGTCGTGATCGTTGAGATTGCCCGACATTTGTGTTGTTGGGGGAAGAGTAAGACGAGATGAGTCAAGGATGCAGGGATGTGACGTCGAGTAGTTGAAAAAGGGAGATCGAATCACACGGACAAAGTGAGCATAGCGCGGTCACGCAGGGGAAGGGGAAGAAGGGCAGATGCAGGAAGATCCCAAAAAAACGGAAACAGAAAAGAAATAGGAAATAGGAAAGCAGAAGGGGAAAAAAGAAAAAAAAGGAAAAAAAGGAAAAAAAAAGGAAAAGAGAGAGCCTAGGAGATTATGACGTGAGCAGATATAAGGAA